ACGCAACAGAACTGTATTTGCATTGTCTCGTGGAGTTCTTTGGGCTGAACCTGACAGCTACCCATCTCACAAAAAGTGACTCCGGGCAGCGTACAAAAATCCAATAAAACAACACATATATAAAACAATCACTATAAGAATCAGTATTAAAAGATAAATATTATAAAAACAAAATATATACAAACCCTAGGCAAAGAGAGAATAAGGATAGGCGCCTCAGCAATGGAGCCATCAGAGCATGTCTTCGGTTCCTGGGAGCCCCAGACCTGGTGACATAACCAGGTCTTGAGGGACTTCTGGAATGTTGAAAGCAATGGAGCTAATCTTATTTGGGGGGGAAGAATGTTCTGTAAGGCGGGCACCACAACAGAGGCATGTCACCTGGGACCCACCAAATGTACGTACCTAGTTGATGGTACCTGCAGCATGCCTTCTCTGCCAGATCTAATAGGGCAGGCTGATGTAATCAGGGAGAGGCGGTCCCTCAGATAACCTGGTCTCCTTTATTCCATTACCCCCAGGATATGCCCAAATTACTCTTGTGGGTAATTATCCCCAGTTTAAGAACCACCGGCATAGCATTTATCAGTGCTTAAGTGATTTCATTTCGTATAAGCTGATGTTTCCTAATCTGTTTGATGTGAGACAAAATATAGTCTTTGGGAACTCTAACTTTATTAATTTAAGGCCAGAGGCCAAGAAAGTTTAAGTCTTTGGTAAAGGAGTCCAAGTGGTATCAGGGATCAGAGTTTAAATTTATTTATTTATTTATTTACTTACTTACTTACTTACTTACTTATTTATTTATTTGAATTATCTCTTCCCATCTCCCTGTAATGGGGGACTCTGGGCGGCTCACAAGATCCATTAAAACAATAAATATATATATAATGATGTCAGACTGCCCATTAAACCTCACCCTCTGTAATAATTCATTTCTCTCTGCCTGGGAATGGAGAACCACTGCTTCTCCTATCCTCTGATACAAAAAAAAAACAAAAGTGTTCTGTCTCTTCCCTCCAAAAAGGAAGACATTAACTACGCAGATGGTGAGAGGGAAAGACATTGTTGTAACTCCTGGTGATTGTGCTACATTTGCTTATACATTGTCTTTTCCTTGAGAGAGAAAGATACGGTGCAGGTAAAGTAGAGCTGATCCAGTCCTAGTTGTACATGTGCATATGTGTAAACCCATAGTGGTTAGTTTGGGGCTCAAGGGGTACAAGTTCCTCATCCTGTTTTAATATATCACTGAGTGACACTAATTAGTGGACAATATGGTATATACACATACATTTCTTAGATTAAAGTCTTTGAGAACCCAGCTGACTAGCCGTTATATTAAATGGAATATTAAACTCAGTAGAGCTCCAGTGGATCTGACAGGTTTCTTTGTCCTTACAGTGGGGTCTTTTAATATGTTAAATACCTGTTTGCACTTCATTGCAGGTTGGTATGACGGAGAGCGATTGCGTGATGGAGAAAGAGGTTGGTTTCCAATGGAATGTGCCAAGGAGATTACATGTCAAGCCACTATTGAAAAAAATATGGAAAGAATGGGACGTTTGCTAGGCCTAGAAACAAATGTATAAGGCTCTCTACAATACATGTATTCTAGAATTTGCACTAAAGTCAGTGGCATCTTGGTCCCCTCCACTTGTAGCAGATGAAATATTTGAATAGATTTTAAGGATGGAAGAAACTAACCCAGTTCAAGGCAAATAAGGGCTCTTCAGAATCAGTTTCTACACTATGAACTTTGGTTTTTTTAAAAATCTTTTAAAAATAAATGCTGATTTTATATTTGAATAGCATTCCTATTTACATATTTACAATATTTACAATGACCTAATTATTCCTGTATCTTAGTTCTAATATACCTTTGTCTAAAAGCTAGTTCTCTAATTCATTCATTTCACTTTCCATTTTAATTTAATAAACCTTTTCATTTTCTTGAAATTGCTTCACTCCCACAATGAAACATCACGAAGCAGGAACAGGCTTCTCTATTATGTGTGCAGTTGCTGTGGATGCACATGATTGAGCCTGTTGTTTGCATATCTTGAGCTAGAGAATGGCTGTTGAGACCCACGAACATTAACTATCACTCTTCCAACTGACTTCAATCAAATTGAAACACTATTGATTTCATTAGCATGTACTGTGATGCACAGACTTCCTGGGGAAGTATGGTGAACTGAAGATGGTTTTGCGAAAATGGAGCCATTGACTGCAGCAAAGACCTCTCCAGATAAGGAGAGGATGGGAGATCACCCACATGTGCTCTGGACAGCTGCTCCTTACAAGGAGACTGCAGGACAGTGGTTTTTCACAGGTTTGAGCGCTGGGAGATGATGGGATCAGCCATCTTGCTCGCAACCACAGTAGATACTTTTAAAGGACACTTACATTTGCAAACCTCACTTTCTAATCACTTTTGGATATTTCCTATTAATCTTAAAGTTATTAGAGACCTTTGGAATGACAAGTTTGAAAAGTCTTTATTGAGTGAGTTTATCCTCAGCTCTGAACAAAAGTTAAATTAATTACAAGCTTAAGAACTTAAAGAATTTGAAATAAAAAACTCAGTAAGTTTTTGACCTAAGAAAGTTATAAACAGATGAAGGATCCAGATAAATTTGGAATGTTGACTTTTACTATAAGATTTTGGAATTAAGTTTAAAAAAAAAGCATCTTCTCATGGGAAACAGACTTGGCTATCCTAGCAATTGTGTGTCGTAACAAAAGATAAATGATGATTTTAGAAACTCGACACTAGAGGGGACTAAAGATTTTAAGCAGGAAAAAAAAATACAAGCCTACAACCTGATGTCAGTTAATACTGGGACCTACAAAATGATACAAAATGTTATAACATCAAAAATATTAAGGGAGATCTTTGAAGAATGGAGCCAGAGGTTAGTAATTACGATATCAACATTGTGAGTAATGATGTCTGTTTCTATGGATAGACTGCATCCAAAAGACATTAATGAAGGAATGACAGATTTGGAACAAATTTTATCTGATAAGATAAAGTACAGAATGTGGATCTACAAATGACAGACCAAGAGAATGATTTGGAAAAGGATGCTTTACTGGATATACAAAAGAAACAGGCTGAAGTTTTAAAAATTAAAAGGG